GAAGAGCCAAGCTCGATATTAAGTTATACTTATCGCTGTTATATTTTGAAAGATTTTGGATTAAAGAATTTGGATTAAAGAATCAATATCATCCTATCTCCTTATTTTAATTAAATAATTATTTATAATTTGTAACTATATATTATTACATATCATAATATGTTTATTATGTTTCTCAACAGTAATATGTTTATTATCGTTTCATCGATAAAGAGTAATGTTTCGAGAAATATATATTGTTATCTTGAATTTAAACTTTTTTGTTTATGATTGAAACGATGTTCGCTGCGCTGGAATCCATAGCAAAGCTGCGCAATATGCTACGAGCGCAGTAATAAGCGAAGTTATTGCGCGCGCGATTTACGTGAAGAATCGAATCTAAGGATCAAAGCTCAAAAGACGACAACAACGCGTGACACAGTTTTTAAACGCGACTGAACCGCGACTGATCGTCGTAATTGATGCACGCGATGTGATCTAAACCGGGAATACGTGAGAACCAGTTCAGATCCAGTTCCCCTCTCGCTGCACTTGCACTGGCTGATAGTCGCATCGATCGACCGCCAAGGCCGCGTCTTATTCGGGCAAGGCCAAGGTCGTTGGCTGGCATTGCCAGCTGAGGTGAGATTGCAATTTCTCGCGCAGAGTTGCGCCAGAATTGCAAAAAGCTGCGTTTGGTTAACGTTTTACATAATTAGCAAGTAAAGTATAACTCAAGTAAAAAGGGATTAAGATTCAATTCATAGGAGAAGTTTATTTCGCAAAAATTTGCGCGGTAGACATAATTTATTATTTTTTATCTTGTCCACCACATCGAAAGATTAATAGCTTTTAGTTTTATTAAATATTAATAATAAATATGACTTTATATTTATTTTTGTACAATTCAGATAACAATAATTTTTTGGAATTTTGTCAATAAGTTTGATATTTTTAATCGATTGTATAAAACTTCTCTTATAATTACATTTGTAAAAATATTTTAGAATATAGTTTCCATCACGCAGTTTTTTTCCAATCCGGACAGTAATCTTGTACTTGTATATCATAATCCATGTGACGAAATGTTGCGACATGCCACATTGACCTCTTCCACTAAGTTTGTTTCCGAAACGCTGACCTTGCGATAAGGCGAGTCAAGGATAGAAGTATCCGTGCCTTGTCTTTTATCGGCCGTTTCCGGGGTCTATTCTAACCCAAACTTGACTTTGTATCACTGATATAAATTTCCGGTTTTATTGAACTGACAAACAAGCAAAGACTTACGTCTCACATCAGTATTGAACATGTTTCTTCATGTTACGTCAACAAGTGGCGACAGAGATATAATATGAAAATAAATAATCCAAACATTACGTAATATATTTTCCACCTTGATATATTTTCTGCATGGCACCACTAAGCTGATAATTTTGAATTTGTATAAGCAAGCATCGTAGAAATGCGACGTAGAATAGTTTCTAAAACAATGTATACAATTTTGTACCTCCCGCTTGGCAATAAGTCAATAATTTATATGGTTGTCTCTGTTCAATTTACTATGAAATCTTCGTATACCGAAATATTTTAGTCTAATTTCTCGTAATTTCTGTTGGCACTCTAATATAGACTCTGACCTTCTACTACATATCATGTAAACGCGAAATCTGTTTGTAGATAATTTTTCAATATCTAGTAACCAGATCGCTTTTCGTAAAATATTACGTAATTTCGTGTCTGCTTAAAGTATCAAAAGAAACATATCACATGAATAAAAACGCCACATGAGTAAATGTTGGAACAAATTAAATTTCAAACAAAAAATTACCCTGGTGAAATTTTTCTCAAAATTTTTCATATAATTTTTTAGAATCTCTATATAATTTTTCAAAATTTCTCTATAATTTTATAACTTTCTCATTTTTTATACGAATTGGAACATTTCTCAGAAAATCTACATCTTTTCTCAGAATTTTTCATATATGTTATTATGAAATATCGTAAGATTTTTAAGATTTTTTGTAAGTATAATTTCTGATAAAATGTTACAAAATCTAAAAAATTTAAAAATTATGGGATGAGAAATTTCAGAATAAAATTTTCACCAGAGTAGAATCAATTAAGACAATCAAAATATACATATATAATAAAACGAAAATGCAGTATTTTTAGAAATTGCGAGATTTAGGTCAATGTTATTGCTTCATTCAGATGTTTAGCTTTAAAGATACATAATGATTGTGCTAATGGAAGAATCACCTGAAAAATTCTGAAAGGCTCGTAGCAGTAGAGTACATCGCTCTATCTTGGTTTAGTATTAATGACGGTTAAAAGGGTCGAGACAAGACATCTCATCCTTTGTTTCGCTATCGTGTTGCGAACCGTGACCCTGAAAATCCACGAGACCGCGACGTAGGGTTAAACGACGTGCGCGTGGTCGCACACATTTGGCGATGTATCATTCACGTCGTGATATAAAAATGCCTTCTCTGGTAGTTAGTAGTAGTAGTAGTGACAAGAGGCAGCGATGATGACGATGGATGGGAAGAGGGGATCACGACTAGTAGTCGATATATATCTATACAACGTGTCCGCTCCGGCCGCCCGTGACCACGTGACCTTGTCCTTGTACGATGTCGCATCGAACAGCACTACGTGCCACCGACACTCGTCGGCTTCGTCGCGCGCCGGTGGAACCTTCCTATAACGAGTATGAGGAAAGGAGAGGAGAAGAGGAGCGAATAGAGCGTGTATGTACGCACACATATGATGTACATACATACATACACATGACAATAAAATAACGATGAGTCGAAACGCCGTTTTAAACAAATTTGCACAAGTGACTAATGCGGAAAAACTAATTTTTTCCGCACTAATGTCTCTTCGATAAAGGCAATGGAAAATCTTGCATGTTGATTTCATGCCGGATACATATCTGTCATTGAGAAATACGCAGTCTTTGATCTTTAATCTATAGGGGAAGAAGGAGATGTTATAAATTATTTATCTGTAACGTCATTTGTAATGTTTATTACGCAGACTCCACGTGTTAATGTTTTACACAATGACTTAGTACCAAGTCTTGTCTGCTGTAAGAGAATTGTAATTACTATGTGTGCATTGTTTTTTTCAAATCTTTATATTTTTAATACCTTTTTCGTTCAATAAAATAAAGTTTGTATTTGGCGTTAAATATCAAGGCTATAATTTCTTTTAATAAGAAAGTCTTCTGTGCGATATTTAATATCATAATAATTATTATACATATACAGCTTTATCATGTTAGTAATCGATATGTACACTCGCTGCTGAATTACATTGAATGTATTATGCACTTCTGAACAGGTGCCTATCTGAGCAGAAGTCGAAATTTTCGTCTGATTGCGTTTCGCTAGCACAAGGAAGGTTATCTTGTCGTGTGTTCATCGTTATCAAGTCTGATGATAATGCGCTGAGTGACTCAGCGAGATGAGTTCAAGTACAGATTCGAGTGATCTTTACCTCGAGCGACGCAATTGACACTTTCGTAATATTGGCGAATAAATATCGTGAAGAGTTTTATTTTAATCCAGCAAATTAATCTCTTTTTATATCTCCGTATACAGTTATTATTTAATCATTTATAAATTATTTTTAAACTAGCTTTTTTTCCTGAAAAGTTGATTCAAATGCATCGATTATATAATGTTATTTTCTAATAATTTTATAAATGCGATTATGAGAAAAGATTATGTAAGAATATGTATACATTGCTTTATATAACAAAATTGTAAAATTAATTTTTAAATGATTTTTTTAATTGAATGATTAGACAAAATATTTATCATATATTATAGCAGAATTAAAATTTAAACATTATATTATTTTCCAGATATTATAAAGTATTGGATATTATAAAGTAGTTTCGAAATTTATGAAGTATAATCGGAATCAGAGAGAACATATAGAAAGACCGATTCGAATCTTAAATAAATTTCGTACAGTGTCTTGCATAATGTTGTTTGCGAAACTTTGCCAAACAAGGTTTGTAATAATAATGAAATCGAATGTTTCATTATAAACCATCTCCAATTGTTCCATTTCTGATATCACTGACTATTGTATTTTAGTTTTTAGCTTTCAATTCGTTTTTTTTTTTTTTTTAATGAATCTTGAAAAGTTTCACGTTTTAAGTGAATTTTCTGTTTTACCTTATTTTGCTCTTCTCGAAAATTCTTTTCGAGATTGTTGAATTTTATTTAACTTTTCAAAGAACGCCATACAATCAGAGGATCGCATATAGATATTATGTCAGCATTATGTATAGATAGCCGGCTTATGTTCGATCTTTTTGACCAGAAATCACGTCGAAGGTCGAGAGCGGTCGAATACGTCGTACAAACGCTTTAAAACAGTCCAACGTCTTTGGTCTACGTCCTTGCGACAGTTTTAGTTTTCGGAGAGATCGACTCACTGTTGCGAGGGAGGCATGGTTACGTGTTGCGGCTAGTTTACACTAATCTTACACATAGCTAGTATAAGGTTACTCTCTGCAAGTTAGCTGTCATGTGTGAGCCTACATAGTCGCTAAAAATTAGAGATATATTAAGTAGGAAACAAATTGTGAGGCAACCTGGATGGCGAGATAACCCAATGAAAATCTATTTTCGGATGTGTTTACCTTTTACAACATCGGACCGATATTTTAATAATTGCGCGATTTAAATGGTAATCTAAATAATCATATTAAATAATTTGCAAATGTTTTGATAAAATTTTCATATGATCTTTATTTTGTTTTTAAAACCAATTTGCTGTCCTTTTTTTTATTAATCTTATTAGTCGAGTAGACGTTTAATAAATATCATAGCAGAATTTGGCACATCTAAGAGCCTGTGTACACCAATGTACTTCGGAATTCTGGTTAACAGTTTGTTCTTGTTGACAATCTCACGGCGGCGGCGGTGGTGGCGATGGCGGCAGCGTCACAAGGACGATGGCGCACACATCAATGTTGTATCGTCACGCATGTGCGCAGCATGTTACTAGTGTTGCTACGTGCACGCGTATATATCTCCGCCTCGCGGATTTGTCGCAATGTCTCGTGTCGTTTGGAAGCAGAGTCGGAGCGAACATGGACGTATAGCGAGGCAAAGAGCGGAGCGAAGCGGAGCGGAGCGACGCGGCGCGGCGCGACCTTGTCCTTGAGCATAATCTTTCCTCGTTATCGGACGGTCGTCGAGGCTGCGGTCGCATCGGACCGACTGCGAACGATTAGTGCAACTCCCGACTGTGCGTCAGCCTTCTTTTTATATTTGTGAATAATAATGCACCCGGTATCTCGCAGCGTATCGGAAGTACGATGATGATATACATATAAATTTTTGCATTACTTGTGAGAATTACGTGTTTGGAAGAACCTCTATTGTTTGCGATCAGTTACTTTTCATTATACACTTAGATTTATTTTAATCAAGTAAATTAACTTTTATTCCGATTTAATTTACTTCCTTTATCTTTTTCTAAATTTTTAGAATTAGAAAAAAAGTAAAAAAGTGTAAGTTAAATGGTTGAAGTCGATCTATATTGATAGAAAAAAAAAATGGACATTACTCTAAAATCTGTTTGTATTTCATTTACATTGAGATAATAATTGAACAAGAATATATAATCTCTCGCGTTTGAATTTTCGTTGCAAATATTATTGGCTTCGTACATAAGAACTATTCCAGGTCTAGGCCTGTTTTCCTGAGGACTGTTTTCCTGAGAAGAAAGATAATCCGAGTACCTCAAATCATGACTGTCACGAGTCATCTTGAACGAGCGCTATTGGTTATCAGTGATACCCCCCAGGTTCTAGGAAGCAAAGTCGCTATCGCTGACCTTGCTAGCGAAATACTTAACGCAGCGGCACGTGTGCGACGACGTAGAAGCTGACGAAGCAGAAGAGACCCGTGGATAACGAACGAAGACGCGTGAAAGAAAAGGAGCCTGCAGTGGCGCGATGTTTAATTAAGACATTATCTATTTTGATATATAGTATAGGCAACGCACAGCATGTTTAGATCATTATGACCATTATAGATTAGAGAATATCATCGATATTGCTAGAATAATAATAGATGTAAAAATATATTCTCTTATCTCACTTGTTTATCTTATCATATACGTGAATGTCATTACTTATTTATTACCTGACCGTAAAATTGAAATAATGTGGGAGTAAATTGAATAAACGTATGAAGTCCAAGGTAAGAGGAAAGTGGAAGAGGAAGAATAAAGAGGGACAAAGGGGATTCCGACACGCGCAATCTAGCGTTTCCGAATATGAATACACTCGACTATATTATTAGCTGGATCGTTGGAAACACGCGCGCACAAGGTCAGCTTTCGCATCTCATTCCCTTTACCTCTCTACATGAGACCGTTGTTTCATCCACCCCCTAATCATAAAGATGAATCTACCGTAAGCATGTTTTTTTTATAGGCATTGACGCCGGTGACGAACAATCGCGCTTGTTTTTTTTCATGCACGTGTCCTGTCCACGTGTCTGTCACTAAAAAAAATGACTATTCATTGTTCGAGAATATTCCTTGGAAAACGACGCAACGACGTTCGTTTAATTATTAGAAGAAGATAATTTTGCCTCGCATCCATGTACGTCATTTATGGCTATGGCAAAAATTTAAGCAGTAAGACGTAAGCAGATCAGCATTTTAGATTTGCTGCTTACGTCACTGCCTTATATTCTTTACTATGATTTTTGACGATTTGTTTACTATGTTACATTTTTCTATGATAAAGTCATGGACTTTTATCCTATCGAAATGATAATTACAGCTATTTAGAGTATATTTCGGAGGCCTTGACGCTCCCAACTGGTTTACGTGGCATGACTTCCGGCGTGCTTTCACAAATGACTCGTCCCTCGAAGGGACGTTTTCGTTGCCTCACCTCGAAGCGTTTGGTCAGTAGTATTTAACATGATGACCCACTTGTACTCTCGTAACTTTATGGATTTACAAAGTATAGATCCTACCATAAAAATGGCATTAAGCAATTACTACTAAAAATAATTACACCCAATATGGCTTACTTGCTATTTATAGATACATAGTTATGCATGAATAGTTAAATGTTTACTACATCCATGTGAATATTGAAAATCTATTTGAATATGTCATATTTTCAATCAATGAATTCAGAAATGTTCCTATATATTTTGAATGTAATTTTGTATGTAATTACCAATTTTCAATGTTGGACTCAGCAAAAATTATAACATTTAGGAAAACTATATTGGATATATTTATCTTATTACAATTGTAATAATAAGAAATTAAAATTAATTTAAAATTGTTAAAAATAACTTTTACTAAAAGTAGAAACAAATTATGGCACTAATTAAATAATTTTTTATTTCTGTCTCCAACAATTACTAATGATAATTATTAGAAAAATTAGAAACATATACAGTAAATGTAATATATAAAACATTGTCAAAAGTAGTTAGATTAGATTTTAGCATTTGAATCTTTACTCAAAGCTTTATGCAAATCTTTTTCGTTCTTTAAAAATTTAACATCGTTGTTGCTGACAACGAATAAAAAAAAATAAAAGAAAAGAAAAATAAAGATTTCTACTTTTTTTTTTGCAAAGCGGTGCTTTCTTGTAGTCTCGCAATTGCGCAATTACGCAATTATTACGATCGGATACTGATCTTTTGCGGAAGAACTGGAGTTCCGTTACAATGCAACGAACTGTAGCCACGACGAGTAACTGTAAAGGACTCCAACGTGCTAACCTGTTGCAACAGTCAGCAAGGATGCAAAGAAGAAATACACATCGATCGCAATGAAATATTTTATAAACCTCCTTACTCTTTTTTGTGACATTTTAAATAAAAATTAAGTCTAAAAATTAAGTCTATTGTCTCCGTCAGCTCGGGCGGTTTATGACATGTTCTGATAATAATAAAGTTACAGGTGAGGGGGAGAGGAGAACATTTCTTTCTTAGGTTTGAAAAGATTTCACTCGATCGATTCGTTACCATACACTTTCGATGTAGGCTCTGATCGATAAGGCTAAAAATATCAAACGATAGCATATGCGTGGACGATCGAATGATATCGGGATCGTCAGTGTCATGCGGTGTCAGGGGGACACTCCATCATGGAATAACAGGAAATCGGATACCGGGCGGCGGAGAACTGGTATTGTCGTAGCTGGGACCTTAGTTTGGTAATTGCGACACCCTCGTTGCGATAGTGCCAACGACAGGTGATCGCGCATATCACATATCTTTATACATCCGTTATTCGCAGCATAACACTCTTCTCTACATCATTCGCGATAAAACGTCGCGTTGGACATTCGAACGTTAACGATAAACATACAGTAGTCGATATCGACTTGCAAAGTCCTTGAGAGCAGGAAACGATTTAACGGCGCAACTGTTCAATCTTTATAGGCGGATTACTCGTTAATGATTAAAATAATGCGATCGTTATCGTTGAAGGATATATAATTGGATGATTTTCGATAATTGAAGTTAGTCATCGTTTATTTTATGCGTTAGTTAAGAATTCAGTGATGCGTATTTTTACATTGATCGTATTTATTAATTGCTCGTGAGTGTTATCCAAGGACAATGCTCCGTCGTAAAACGAAAACATATTACGTAATTAACATCGTATTTCGAAGCTGCTTTGAGAGATCACAGCGCAATTTCATTGTTCATTAGGTCTGTTTGAAGCTCCTCGTAATATATTGTACATTACAAATCTAATACATTCTATAAAAAAATAGCGATGTAAATTTAACACCATGCGATATTTATATAATTCTCACTGTGTTGAATACATTGTGTATTAATATTAACATCGATATGAATTCAACACCATGAGTTTCAAATCAACACTATCATAGTATTTATATATAAACATCGGAGGTTTGAAACCCATATTAATGTTAATATTAACACAGTGGGAATTATGTAGACATCGCGTATGGGTGTATACGTTTTTTAGCGTGTATACTTTTATCTAATAAAATAAAAATAAAAAAAAAACAATAATTGAGATACTAAAATCGCACATTTTTTTAAAAAGATAGAAAAAGATAGAAAATTATTAAAGAGTAGAAAATTATGTACAGATTAAAAATCACTGACTATCTCCGAGCGAAGCCAGTACCTATCGAGCAACGGTAGGAACTGGTAAGTGCATCGAAGCATCGACGCTATTTCTGCACACACACATATACGTACGTAGACAAGTGTCAACGGCCTCGTCACTATTCAGCGCAAGTGCGCTTCGCTGGACAGGCATGGCATGAACGTCGAGTCGCGACGAAAGAGTATCAGAGGTCGATATCACAACGCCCAATTTCCTTCTCGTTCATGCGCGAAGTTAAATAAATGGGGATTATGTAAATTATGTAATTTTAGGAAAATCACATTAGGTAAATGTAACTCCTCTGAGATTTAAATTGTTAAATGACCTTTCTTCATAGGACATGTTGATTCATCATTCGATGTTATAATCTTAAAGTAATGAAAAGTTTTTACGATATAAGGTATGTACGAGAAGAGAACGGACTTTATTGAAATAGCGGTGAATGAACTGTCAATTCGTTTTCGAACGACAGACCGTATAATTACGTATGTTCGTTGCGGTTCAATCGACAAATGGGTCCCGACAGTATCACGTGATCTCTTTAAATTATGTCACAGTCAATCTCCGCACTCCCGCGTTTATTGAACCATGTAATATATTCGAGCGAAATAAATTTACACGTGAGATTATTAGAATAAGAGTGGAATATAGTTGTTTTTACGATTTATAATTTGCATATCTTACTTAGCTTTCGATACGAGCTATGGTAAGTGAGAGGTGAGAGTAAGACTTAAAAGTGATAGCACTTTTTATTAATATGTATTTAATAAATATTTTTATTTGTCTATGAAACTTTTGCTATGAAAAATTGATATTCAATTATGAATATCGATACGAATTTGGATCTATAATTAAATAAGAGAAATCCTTTTCTCGGTCAAAGTCTTGGTGCTTAAATATTTCTATGTGAATTTATACATATCTGATTCTATAAGTTGAAATTTTTTCACTCTTGAAACGTAATTATGAACAGAACCAAAGTAGTAATGTCACTTATTAAATTGACAAGCAATTTAAAATAAAAATTGATATTGTCGCTTATTACATATTTAGTATAAAAGAAAGTTTCAGAAGCAAACTCTTGAATGTATTTGATTAATTTCTTATAGATATCTTGATGTTTCTATTAATATTTATGATGCTTTGGATAGAAACATCAAAGTCGCTGTTATTTATCATTATGATAAAGTTTGATCGATTTTATGACATGTACGCCTTCCATTAATCGTCGATCATTAAGATTCTCTTTATATGTAACTCGAAAAAATATTAAGAGAAACTGATAGTGTGCCTCACAATGATGGTTCTTTCGAAGTAGATGATACAATCTATGAAAAGTAGATGTGAAAGGAAAATAAGAAAGCAGATGTGATGGACAAGGAAGTGAAAGCGTACGAAGTTAATGTTTTGTTAGAAAAATTGTTGATTAAGTTTTCATATATTCTTTATGAACGATTATTAATTAGGACAGAATTGGCATTATTTTTGCAAACACTGTTAGATTTACGAAAATATTTTTATATATGCAAATTATCAACTAGCATTTTAGACTGAAAATTTTCGATCGATAATTTTCTTACATAAAAATATATTTGTGATTTACAAAATATTTTATTACTCTCATGGCGCATATATTCTCTATTTGCCGTACAAGGGTTAATTACACGTAGATGCTTGTTTGATAGTATAGCAAGAGCTCAAGAGGTCAATGATTCCGCAATCCTGTGAAGGCGATGTAATCGTCAAGCAAACTAGCACCAGTTGAAGCGGGCGCAAATGTGACCTAATACACGCGGGGGCAGTCACCTCTACCCGTTGTTATACCGCTGCAATCGTGAGGGATTCTATTTGTATCTCGTTACTTCCGAATGGCCACGAGTTTGTCGGTACTTT